TCTACTTGGAAACAGAAGCTTTTTGGGACATTACCTGATTTTTATTAAAAACAGATTATATCTAGTACTATATTTGCTTTTATTTAAGTTGGTCAGTCAGAGAAGAAGAAAGAATAATCTAAATGTAGAGTAATGAAGCAAAGGATTCCAGACAGGTAAATGTGCTGGTAGGAGAAGCTGTGGAATCCATTACAATCCATCCTATTTGTTTCTCAGGTTTAAGTAGTCAAATACTTGCCATTTTCCAAGGGAACATGTAGGCAATATTTGATTTTGGCTCTCATCTCCCTGTGGGCCATTCTGATTCCAGTTGGAATCAAGATCTTAACGGGCAGTTGTTTGAAATATCTTTGCAGCACAAGTTCTTAATAGATAAATTCACTTCAGATCAGAGTAAAGGCAGGGAATTTGTTCAGGAAAAATTTCTAGCTTTCTGGTATCCATGATTCATTGAAGAAGGAGTTGTAGCACCTCCAGGTGTGGTGCTTAGAGGGATTTTCTTTTAGACTTATACTAGACAGTCACTTGGAGGATGTGTGTATAGCATGTTTCATAGGGTGCATTCATTGAAAGTTTTTAGGGTTCTTGCATCACAACAGTGTCAGGAAACATCACTCACAGTTGCTTTACAGTGTTGAAAAGGGAAAATGCCACAGGCATTTTCCAATGTTCCTGTTCTGCAAAGAAGGAAGGATTTCAGTTCTCCTGATAAGACATGGCCTTATATTGTATTAGCACTAAGTTCATAAAGGTTAAGGATATGAAATCCGTGATGTGTTTTAGGAGGGTCAAGATTCCTCCAAATAGCAGTTAACTATTCGTTAGCTACCAGTGGTAGTAGTTAACTATTGAAATATTTACATGAAAATATTTACATTTTACTTCAAAATAATTCTTGTCTCCCATGTAGGCTTTTCTCTGAGTGACTCAGGAGATCACACTGATACCCAAATCATCCTTTTCTGTTGTAACCTATTTGAATTTTAAAACAACATTGAAAAAACTGAGTATGGGAGTTAAATATAGGTACACAGCAGTTTCAAAGCCAGTGAAAAATGGTGTCCAGAAACAAGGTGTTTATTAGATGTTAGGGAGAAATTCTTGGCTGTGAGGGTGCTGAGGCACTGGCACAGGTTGCCCAGAAGAGCTGTGGCTGCTCCATCCCTGGGAGTGTTCCAGGCCAGGTTGGATGCAGCCTTGGGCTTGGAGCAGCCTGGGCTGGTGGAAGGTGTCCCTGCCCATGGCAGGGGTGGAATGAGATAGTCTTGAAGGTCCTTCCAGCCCAAACCATTTCATGATTCACATATATAAACCCCCCCAAGCAGCTGTGATGTGTAATACTCAGAACAGCCTTTAAAAATAGCTAAACATTGCTTAGCTAATCCTCCTTCTCATGCATGTATGCATTTGTAGGAGTTGTGGCTACTGTGAAGCACAGCCTGCATCATCTCATACACAAATGTTCTTTAGAGACTGCCTTGCTCACAGTTTTATGCTAACAGGAACCCTCAAAATGTCCCTTACAGAGGAGTTGTGAACCGAGGCACAGCTCGAGTGAGTCATTGTTGAAGAAATGTTGAATTTCTGGTTCTTGTTGGTAGAAATTAACATTTTAAGACCACTGTCATCTCCACATGGTGTAAAGCTGTTAACTTGTTGCAGTGAGTTTAATTCTTTTCATTTCCATAATTAGTGTTCAAACTTGGCATCAGAAAACAAATGTGCAAGTGATGAAAACGCATTTAAGTACTCAAAGCAACAAAATTACGTTAACTCTAATTCTGGCAGCTTGTCTTGATCACATACTCCTCTGAACTCCAAATCCTGTATACAGTGTTCTTCCTCTTAGCTTGTATTTATCTCACAGAATTTATGGTCTTGTCAGTCTATTTATAACATAAAAGGCAGATCTGTCCCTGGTAGCTTCATCTCCTATTGACTGTGTGGTGTATGCGCTTGTAAGTAGAGATTCATTCTTCTGCTTCTTCCTTTTTTGTAGAAGAAACTATTTCATCCTTTGAGCTCCCACTCAGCTCTAAAGGTTAGCACCCACAGAAGCTTTAACATCCTTCTGTAGAGTAAATGATGAGTCAGGATAACAGAGCCACATTCCTATTCAAAATCGTGCTAAGGACAGGGGCAAAACTCGTGAGGAATTGAGTGGATTGAAACCAAATAAAGCAAAGCCAGTGACAAGTTTTCTACATGTTTCTGTGTGTTTCATATTGTGTTTATTTGCTGGTTGTTATGCTTGAAATAATTTTACAAAATCCAAGAATGCTGTTAGTATTGCTTGGAAAGCACTAGGAAATGGAATTGGGAAATGATTGTGTCCCTTATACAGAGATCCTGGGAAGATCTCAAACCCATAAAATTTCAGTGTTTTAATTATAAAAAGGACATCTTGGATGTCTTCATTTATTTATCTTCCTTTTTTTAAAAAAAAGATAATTTAAATGAAATTGAGCCTCTCATCCTGAGACTGTAAAGGTTTTCTCATGTTGTATTTAGTTGTGGGTTTTTGGATGAAGAGCAGAAAGGTCTCAGTTTTGAACTCCTGGCACTTAAAATTCTCATATTGTTTTGCCTCCCACTTGGACTTACCTTTGGCTACAGTCCCCCATTTTTTGCAACATCTCTGTAGGAAGAAATGAAATGGAGAGACAGAACTCTCTTGAAAAAACTAATTTTGAACAATTGTCACTGTGAACTCCCTTATGCCCAGTCTAAAAGGGACATAAATGTCTGGATAGGAGCAGTGAGTTTTGGAGGGTGGCAGGGACACCCCAGTGCCTGCTGGAAATGGATGTTGGGAGTTTGAGCTCTCCAGTCACTCACTGATGGTCACTGCAGGTTGTGGCATCAGCATTTCCCAGGTGCTGCCTTACCTTGGCTGAGCTTTATGGTTGCTGATAGAGCTGCTTAGAAGAACCCCTATGGCTGGGGGTGGGACCAGATGGTCTTTGGGATTTATTTCAACCCAGATCATTCTGTGATTCTGTGATAGCTGATGGTTTTCAAGTAAAACTCAACCCTAACTCAGAACAGTAGACACTCCTGGGAATTCATGATACCCAGCTCCAAACAGATAACCCTGATTGGAAAAGCGACCTCTAATAAAAATCCATGTATCGTAGTGTTGCAGTGAGCATAGCCATGAAGGACTGGTCTTTCTCCTTTTGACCAGTAGGAAAAAAATAGCTGATAGATGATTAATTCTGTGGTGACAGTTATTCAGGTCTTCTTCAAGTGCCTTCCCAGAAGGATTTGGTGTCTGTTCTGGTGGTGGTAGCAGGCACAATTCAGGCTCCCTCTCTCAAGGGCTCATACAGCATGAACAGAGAGAAGCAGGTGCAGGATTTGAGAGGTCTCAAACAGGTGGATGAATATTGCAGCCAGGTTTTATCCCCCTCCCACAAGTATGTAATAGCTTTTCATCCTCCCTTTTTGCTCCTCTTCAGTTGAACATACTTTGTCTCGGTGAAATGGTTAAATTCTGGTGGTGAGAATGCTCTTTCTGACCTACAGTTCTGGTTTGGGATTGTGCCCACACAACAGAAATGGTTTGAATTCAACTATTCACAAGTATTTCTGGATGTTTACTGGTATTTGGATGTATTTAGTTAGCACAGTTTGAGCCTTATTGCCTTGAACCAGTAAACATTACCCTAGATGGTAGAAATTTCTCGATCTTGAAGCAGTTTCACAGTCTGGATGGAGAGAAAAAGCTCTGGTTTCTATAGCAATAACTCACTTGATAACCTGGAAGAACACACTCATTCTATAGATATCTGTTTCCCCTTATATAATCCCTATAATGCTGTATGAGCAAATGGTAAGTGATACTGTGCCATGTTGTGATTACAGGAATGTAAGACACGGATCCTGTCTCTGCCTGGTTGTAGGTGAGCCCTGTTGGGCTTAGGAGCTCAGGATTCAGTGCAGCAGGCAGGGCTGGAATTCATTTTGATGCTGGGCAGATTGCTGGCTGGTTAGCAAGCCAGAAGCATATACATTCCCATTTCCCTGCCCATCTTCTGCCTTGAGGCTTAAAGTTTACAGAATGCAGAGAGGACTGAAATTTCAATTGCTGCTCTGGTTTCCTTCTGGAACTGCTTGTCACTCCGCTGTTGTTTTTAATAATGTAATGGTAAGATTTTTTGACACATACTTTTCATCTTTCCTTCAAGACAGCTGCAGTTTTCCTTGTGCAAACTGCCAGGCTGGCAGGAAGAAAGTGGCATGTGTAAAGCATCGCAGGGAAGAGGCTTTATTTTGTTTTGGTCTCTGCTAGAATCTCAAAATTCCATGCCATTCCCCTTCTTCGCCCAGTAAATTTACTTTATTTTCACAATTTCCACTTGAATGAAAGAAAATCTTTGTCACGCTGTGGATTGCTGGCCATAAAGTTTGTGTGTTCTCTCTGTGAGGCTTTAAAATGGAAAGGTAGAACTAAGGAATTTATTGTAATAACATATTGTCAAAGTGGCTCTAAAATTGTTTTCAAGTAGGAGCTGAAATCAAGTATTGGCGATTAATTACACAGGGAATACTGTCTGGAGCATCAAACCTAGGAATGGTTGGAGCAGGAATTGCTCTGCAATCCTTGCTGTAGTTGGGATAAGGAAGATGAGTTAAGCTAAAAAGGTGCAAGCAAACAGAGGGAACCCAACCCAAAGCCCCCTGGAGTTCTGTGAACTGTTTCAGGCTTGCAAATAACAAACCTCTTCTGTGTTAGAAACGTGTACCTTAAGTGTACTAGTGTTTTCATTCTTTGTCCTGCACTGAGGCTTTTCCTGACTTGCATTTTCTTTTTCTCCTCCTGAGGTATCATTTCAGTTTCCTGAGAAAGTGCCATTTTCTGCATATCTCACCGTTGCATGGTTGCAGAGCCAAATGGGAAGTGGCTTGGGTTTAGTCCTTGCTGTTAGGCTTTTGTAGAAATAAACTGTTACTTTGCATATTTGCTGTTTTCATTCCGACTGCATTTGTTTTCACAGCCTGAGGAAGAGCTTGATCCTGAAGAGAGGGACAACTTCCTCCAACAGCTTTACAAGTTTATGGAAGACAGAGGTAACACTGAATTTTCATTGGTTGTTTTGGGTTTTTTTTATCTTCGGTCCACGTTTTAATGGCACAGCACTCAAGGGAAACTCAAATCCTCCCTGAGGTGTTTTGGTTTTGTTTTGCTTTGACAAACCTTTTTTTATGTTAACAACCCCTGTTAAATAAGCCCTTGGTTGATGTCTTGTTGTGACAGCCCTGGCTGGGAGCTCTGCTGCTGTTAGTCTGGGGCTGGAACCTGAGGAGGCTGTTTCATGGCTGGTGAAATCCAACCAGCAGAGAGTGGGAGATGTGCCATCCGCAAGTCTCCTTGCAGAACTGTCTTCATCGTGCCCAGATGCAGCAGTGAGACTCACCTGAAGAGACAACTTGAAAGATTCTTCTTTGTCCTCTAACTGGAACAAGAAAACAGTATATTTTAAATGCCTGTCTTCACAGAATTAAGTGAGACTGCAATAAATTAGGGGAGTTGAAGCCTTGGCGTAAGACAAACCTCAGAAGTGCCTGTGCTGTGTGTAGGGAGCAGGATGTACCTGCTGACTGGCAAGAGCTGCTGTTGCATAAGCCATTTGCATTTGCAGTTGTGATGAGGCTGACGTTAAAATGGAAGGTTTGCTGTTCCTTAGCTGCACACATGCCCTCACTCCTCCTTTTTTAAGTATATCAAGCCTGCAAAGTCTTGTCTTTTAGAGTATATTTGTTCTAGTCATTTTACTCATGAACTCACCATTTCAATTCAAATGCAGTGTTTATCCTGCAGTGGCCTTGATGGAGGTAGATGACAAGTGCAACTCCTGTTCCTTTACTTTTTTTTCCCCCCTTATTTTTCCTTGACAGAAGTTAACTGAATGATGTTTCCATAGCAGCATGTAGCACAGCAAATGATGTATTTGAATTTGTAAAAAACAGAGCTAAAAGTAAAACAAAGTGCTTGTAGTGTCTAAATATTTCCTCCTTTTGGTGGGTCTTTTAAATCAGTGGGGAAATCAAATTGCCTTTGTAGAAGAAGGTCTGCATCCCTACACTGGGGTTCCAAATCTGTTCAATATTGCCAGTCCTTATCACATTGATCATGTATTACAGCAAAGTGTTAGGAGCTCATCCAGAATGATTTTGAGGCCTCCTGTGTGTAACCAGCATTTCTGGAGAATAAGCTGCCTCAGGGGAGTAAGAGGCTGAGTTGAGGAGGGAAAAACCCCTCTGCTGGTGGACTAACCCAGAGTTTTCTTTTTAAGTAGCCTCATTCTTCCCCCTTTTGTATTTTTCTTCTTCCTCACTCCCTGTCTTAAGCACTCATAGACTGCAAACCAGGTAGGGATCATGGTAGGGACCTGTGAAGGCAAAAGAAGGAAGCATTTGTGCCCTGAACTTGAAAACTCAATCTGGAAACTGTTCTTTAAGCCAATATGTCTATTGAGCAATGCACAGGACTTTGTCAGCCCTGGGACTTTCCCCTGCCTCTTTCCCATTTTTTCTGTCTCTGTCCTTATAGCAAGATTTCTGTTCCCATCAGATTTGTTCTACATTCTGTTCTCTCAGTCTGAATGTTTTGATTCGTGCAATTATGACAGTATTCCCAAAGTCCTGTAAAATTACTTTAATGATTCCAAGTATAATTGCATGAAGATGAAGGGGGATAAGAAGCAGCAGGGAAGAGGTTTGATATTCTTCCTTGCTGGGAGGATTATTGTCTGTCTGCAGCCACTTGCCCCAAGTCACTTTTAGTTTCTCCTTTTGCAAATAATTATTGTTCTTTATGTCATTGTCACTCAACTGATCTGAGTTCTTTCTTTATCCTGGAACTGTCCCAGATATTCATGTCCAGTTAGAACTTTGTGCTTTTCCACATTCTGACAATTTGCCTCTGTGTCTTTCTCATCCAGCATTTCTATTGCTTCCTCATTCCTTCCAACCCACAGTGTTTTGAGTTAATCTCTTCACAGATCACTGTGCTCCAGCATTCCTCAGGTGTTCTGTAGAGCTTTCTGCAGTTCTGGCTCTCCTCCCTGCTCAGGAGAGGAGCAGTGGGATGCAGCCAGTTGGATGGAGGTTATTGCACAATTGGACAGGGATTTTTAATAAACTTGGGTGGCTAATACCACCCAGAGCTCAGTGATGCATCCAGTATGGGGTGAAGCCTTAGTTGGTGATTGCAAACTACTGACTTGACATATCCTAAACTATTAAACACAGATTTTAAAATGCAGGAGGATAGTGGTAATTAACTGTTTAGTTACTAATCAAAGGAATGGAAGAGGTAATTTGCTGTTCTTTGGGATAACTTGTTCCTGGTTTGTTTTATTCAGGTACTCCTATCAACAAGCCACCAGTTCTGGGCTACAAGGACCTTAACCTCTTCAAACTCTTTAGACTGGTTCATCAGCAGGGTGGGTGTGACAATGTAAGTGTTGGATGTTTTCTGAGCTAAATATGTCCATTCATAGCTAGAAATGGTTGTCCAGAGAAGCTGTGGCTGCCCCATCCCTGAGAGTGTTCCAGGCCAGGTTGTCTGGGGCTTGGACCAACCTGGGCTGGTGGAAGGTGTCCCTGCCCATGGCAGGGGGTTGGAATGAGCTAGGCTTTAAGATCCCTTCCAACCCAAACCATTCTGAGATTCTAAAAGGCTGTGGCTTGTGGCTGTGTTAGATACAATGTTCTTGGTTAACAAAACCTGAAAATTTCCTCTCTTCTCTTTTTCCCCCCCAAAGATTGAGAGTGGAGCTGTGTGGAAGCAAATTTATATGGACCTTGGCATTCCTATTTTGAACTCAGCTGCTTCCTACAATGTAAAAACTGCTTATAGAAAGTAAGTTCTCGTATTGTGTAACGGTGACAAGTTTTCCCTTTTTTGTCAGTAGTAGTATGTACAATATTGAAGCAATTTCTGATAGTTTAGTGAAACAGCAGTTCACATTCTTCAGTTAGTGAACAGTTCTGAGCATTCACCAGTGCTGAGGTGGAAGAAAGGAAGGAGCACTCAGAGCTGCCAAAGTTCCTGTTGCTCTAACAAGAATTCTGCTCGTTTTCTTATTAAGCAACATCCACTTTCAGCATGTGCTGATGGTATTTCAGAGTACAACAAACAAATGTATAAAAGAAGCTTTGGCTAATGAACTTTGTAATTTGTGGCCATTACCAAGAAGAGACTCTGTCCTCAGTCTGGAGGTGCTGTGTGCAGTGAGAACTTTATACCGGTTGCTTTAAATTCCTGAAAAAAAAAGTCTAAAAATACATGTTTCAGATTGCATATTTAAACATAATCTTGGCAGAATTCATAGCAGAATGGCTTTAGGGCATAGCTGTGCACTGCTGTGGTGGATGTGACAGGATTAAGTAGTGAAATCATTACTTGTAATGAACAAATGCATAAATCTGTTTCTTCTTGAGCTTTGGTTTTCAGTTGTAACTTTGGAAATGGCAACCTTTTAGGAATGACATTTTTCAACCTCCTTTTCTAAATCAAGATTATTTTTATTATTTATCCTCCTGGAAGTTTGACAAGAAACAATTGGTGGTTTTGAGTGCAAGGGAAGAATGAGGTTCTCCTGACTGGAACCTAAGGAAATTTGGATGTAGGGATGACTAATGACTCAACTCATGTTAATGTTGATGAAAATGAAACTATTCAGACTATCTTCAGAGGGATTTGAACTGGGCACATGTTTAAGGTCTGTATTTTACAGAGAAGAGTGTTTATCATAAAGAGTAATTGGTAAATATGTGCTGGGTTGCTGTTACAGTGCAAATGTTGAAGTTGTTTGGACACATAGTTGTTGTAACTTGCATATTTATGCTGTGAAGAATAAGCTACTTCATCTCTCTCTCACCTATGACTGGATTACAGTGTGCACAGGCAGTTACCAGAAAACAAGCTGATGCTGCTTGGCTTTACTGTCATGAGTTCTAACTGGATGGGGATGGAGTTAAATCTGTGTGTTCTCTTTCACCATTTGACTTGTGGACATAATTGTTTCATTTCAAAATCTCCTCTGGCTGTTTAATTGGGTTGGTTTGGTTGTTGATTGTTTGTGATTTGGTTGGTTTTTTGCTTTCCTGATGTTACTGAGCAGGAAAATATGTTGTATGCACTTGAATAAATAGAAACTAAACCATGAAATGTAACTGGGACCTTATTTGTGTCTACAGGTATCTTTATGGTTTTGAGGAGTATTGTCGTTCTGCAAACATTCAGTTCAGGACCATCCACCACAATGAACCAAAAGTGGTAGAAAACACACAGAAACACGTGGAACCAATGGAGGAAAGTGTAAAAGAGGAACAAAAAATGCCCCCAACAGAAGTTAAAAAAGAAGCAGAAGAGAATTATTCCAGCAGTGAAAGTGAAAAAGAAGAGATAGAGCTAAGGTCCCCAAGGGTGAGTGGTTTGAACTGGTTGCTGTTCAGTACTTAACAAAACCCCTTTGTGTAGTGAGCAGTTTTCCCTGGGAAGCAGGTGAATGTTGGAATTGGTGTCCTTGTACAAGCAGAGGGTTCTCTGAGTGCTAACTGTTACTTACATTCTACCTGCAAACAACTGGGTTTGATTATTTCTTCCCATTCTACCCCATCCATGGGGTTTGCTCAGGTTGTGTTGGATGCCAGGTGTGTTTTGATTCAGAGGTGAGTTGGGAGCTACTGAGAGCTGTGTGTCATCTGAACAGTGAAACACAGCAGGACAGTCCTGGTTGTGCATGAGGATTTGCACAGGTACATGGAACCTGGAGCTTTCTGGCAAGAAGCAGGAACATCCAAGGCCTAATCCAGCTTTAAGAATCAGAGCAAGACCCACTTCACTGAATTGGTTTATATCACAATCTCCTTTCTTTTAGTGAAAGAAACATACCAGTTTCACAATATGTAGACAAAAGTAGAGGGAGGAAGACTGAAGTTTAGCCTTCATTTGTCTTTGAATGCTGTAGAGGTGAGTGAGGGTTGTTTTAGCAGCTACCTAGGTGAGAGCAGTGACCCATCAGCTACTGAATACTGAACCCAGTAGAGAATATGAACAATACTTTCAAGGGACTGGAATGTGACTGCAGCACCACTGAATTCTGTTAAAGGACATTTTGTGCTCCTTATGGAACACCATTACTGAAGGACAGCAAATTGCTGCTTCTTAGTTGTTCAAGTTGTGAGGGTCCTGTGCAATAAAAATATAAGTCTGTTAAAGTACTTCTTGCAAAACAGCTCTTCAGGCAAATATGTGGCCTTTCAGATTCACAGAGGGAAGGACATATGTAAGCACCAGCTGAGATTTCTGTTACCTATTAGATTTCTCTGTAAATGAAAGTGATTGTTCCAAGCTGTATTGGCCTCAGTGAACTTCCTGACATGACCTTAGCTTTGTTCTTGGTTAGTTCATTTATTTTTTGATGGTTTTTTTTTTTTTGAGAAAACTGGTGAGAGGATAAAGAAATGGAAGAAATATTTGTCTTTTTTAATAATTGGTTCTATTTTGTTACTTTATTAGTTATTAAATATTATTTGGTTATGTATTTTTATTTTATTAACCCAGTCACCATTTTTTCAAAGTACTTGCCATTATCCTGCTGTGAGTTGTAATTATTGCAGTGCCTTCATTGCTGTCACCTTTGGGTGGCCTCCACGTAGTTTATCTTGTATTCATGATGTGTTTTGAATGTTCTGATTTAATAGCAATGATCCTATCAAGAAACTTTTAATAAACGAAATCAGAAACCTGAACTAGATCACCAAGAATCAGTTGCAGGTTGTCCCAGGCAGCAATTGCCTAACTGCTCCAGGTGCCTTTTAAAGATGTGATACTTAGAGTGTTTGAAAGGTGACAGATTTCTGGTGTGAACTCCTCAGGTGAGTGTCAGGGTTGAAGATGCTGAAAGGAAGTTTGATTCTGTCAGGAGTCCTGTGTAAGCACTTTAATCAGTGCTATTGCTGTGGCTCAACAAGACATTTTGGCCCTTTCTATCAGAGCAGCAAACCTGACAGGTCCAAACGGATGTCCCGAAATCCTCCAGCAGTTCATCACAAACTCATCCTCTTTCTTCCAAATGAAGCAGCTGATAAAACATTTAAGCTTTAATCTTAATATTTTGCTTTTTTTGTGTGTTCTCTTCAGCCTTTCCTCTCTACAGGAGTTGTATGTTCCCCTTTTTTGCTGAGATTTGAAGAGGTTATACAGAAAGCAGTTGACAGAAGTGATTCGAGTGATCTTGTTTCTGTTGCAGGGCCGGAGGAGACTCGCCCGTGATGCAACCACCCCTGCTAAAAAAGATGGTGAAGAGGATAAAACACCAGACAAATTAAAAGACAGTAACAAAGAAAACAAGGATGTAGAGGAGATACCTGAGAATGCAGAAAAGAAAGAAAACGAAACTCCTCTAGGGAGGAAAAGTACACCAAAGCAAAAAGAGAAAAAAATTAAGAAACAGGAGGATTCTGATAAAGAGTCAGATGACGAGGAAGAGAGGCAGAGGGAGAGGTAAACACTGTGCCACCTTCCTGTGTGTGTCTGTGCCATGGTTGGGTTGTACTCCAGGCAGGAGGATACACAGAGTGGGAATTGGGGCTGTAATTCACTCAGCCAGGCAGGGAAGGGAGGATTTTATTTAAAGCTTGTGGAGCCTCCTGTGCTTCATGGAAGCATCTTTGGTAGATGCCAGACAGTATTTCATTCTCTTGAAGGTCTTCCCAAGGTTGTGTTGGTGTTGTACCCATAGGCTGCATGCAGGCCAGGCTGTAGGTGTGCCAGGAGCTGTGGGGACACTTCTCTGAGATATGAATGGCAGAGGGAGCTGCTCTTCTCTTGTGCTTTTGTTTAAGTATCTGATGGCTGGTAAAGCTACAGGTTGTTTTTGTTGTATGTCAGATGACTAAGGCATCAAAGAGTTTTCAGATGTTTCTCGTCTTATTTGTTTGCCACAACAAGGCAGTTGATTTTTTATTGAAACCTAGCACAGATTTCATTAGGATTCATTCGTTTCATTAAGATTTCATTAGATTTCATTAAGAGCAAACCCACAGTCTTTCAGTGTTTTCTTTTGTGTGACTTTTCTGCAGTTTAACTTTTACATTATGTCAAATTCACCCTAAAATAGGGAGAGAATTACAGGTACAAATAGGTTAGATTGTAATTCTTGCAAATATGTTTGAGTATAATGTTTCAGGATTAGCCATGGGTGTAATAAGTGGTGGATATAGCAGCTAAGAGCAGCTGTGTAGACACTTCTAGTCTTGGTTAAACAACTTGGATCAACGTTTTTTTCCCAATGGAATAGTATTTGTATCCATGAGAGGATCAAATTTTGTGCAGTTAGTAAACTGCAGCCTGCTAAGCAAACTGTAGAAGAAATAGTGTCTCAAAATCAAGTCTCTTTTAAAAACCAAAGTTAGTTCTGTCTTATTTAGGTGCCAAACACTTAGATCACTTAATCCTCTTTGTATTATCAAAATATTCTTTTGAAAAATAATCTCTAAGCTTTGAGGTAGTTGTACACCTAATAATTTGTGTTTAAATTGTAATATAATCTTCTGGATACTTTTGGCACTTACTCCTAATCTCCCTGAGGCCTGTTCTTGGTTTACAAAGCTGTGTCTGAGGTAGCTCCAGGGACAGGGCAGGGTGCAGAAAAGAAAAACAACTTTTCTTGCAGCCTTTTTTCTTCTGTGGTAGCTTGGCTATGCTCATTAAATGTTAAACCATGATTGTCACTAATTAATGGGCATTTAAAATACTTTTTCCTGCAGGGAGGAGATTGAGAACAAAGGAGACTCAGAAGGTGAGGAGGATGAGGAGGACACAGAGCCCTGCCTGACTGGAACCAAAGTGAAAGTAAAATATGGCCGTGGGAAGACTCAAAAGATTTATGAAGCCAGTATTAAAAGCACAGAGATTGATGATGGAGAAGTTCTGTATTTAGTTCATTACTATGGTTGGAATGTCAGGTGAGGATAACAAATTGCCTTTCACTTCCTTGTTTGTTAAAAGGATTATCTGCCAAGGGGGTTTTTTTTGTAAAAAAATCAAGGTGATCAGTGATATGGCTCCAAACTGAATTAGCAACATAACAGGCTCTGAATCTATTGCACTTCTATTACTCGATGATTTTATGACCAGAAGGTCATTTTTCACCACTTTTCAATGTTGGTAATTTTGTCCATGATACTGCATTGAAAGCTCAGAATATAATTACTAGTTGTTACCAAGTTTCCATCTACCTTAAAGTGAGTAATCCTCACTCCTCACAGAGATACCCCTGAAACTTACTTTGTCAGCACTATCAGACTTTGTCATTTAAGGGAGTCATTGATAATGGTGAATGCATCTACAAGGAAGTGTATGAAGCACTGGAATTTTGGCAACAAAATATGTTCTTGTGTTGAATGGTAATGGTGGCTGTAAGGAGCAGTTGTTTCCTGTAGAGTGGGTAGGAGAGGGCTAAACAGCAAAGGACCACACAAAAAATGCATCAAGTGCCTCTGGCAGCCAATGTTTATATTTGGTACTGCTGCAGAAGTGGCTTGTTTTGTTGGTGTTCTTGAGAGCCTTGTGGTTATGTAGACACAAATACCACAAAATTGATGACTTTAAAAAACACAACACTTCTGGTGTATCACTTGGTGTTCCAAATCTATGTGTTTCTAAATAAATAAGCTGATTTCTGTGGCAACACAAAGTTTGTGTGTGGGGATATCCCCCAAGTACTTATCTTCACCCTACTCATACCTCAGGAGATTCTGAGGAGCATTAGTAGCATATCTGTGCTTTTCAGAATCTCATCCAGGTTGTTGCAATAATTGAAGAACTTTGCCTTTAAGAAAAAAGTTACATTTCATTGTGTGGTGACAGTGCCTTGTGTGCATGGTGTGGAATAGCTGACACACTGTAGCTGACTCAGTCCCTGAGCTCCAGTGCTTTGCTGGCAAGAGACAGGGAAGTTTGCAACTCCATTCCCCCATTCCATAAATTATTTTATGGGCTAGAAATTAGATTCATCTTTCTCATGCCAGATACTATATCCATGTGAATACATACTCTACTCTCATGGAATAGTTTGAGTTGGAAGGGACCTTAAAACCCATTTAGTTCTACTCCCTGCCATGGTCAGGGACACCTTCCACCAGACCAAGTTGCTCCAAGCCCCATCCAACCTGACCTGGGACCTTTCCTACATCTCTTTAATAAATATTTTCTGTACCTCAGTCTTTTAATCCTCATATTGCAAACAACATTTTTGTCTGCAGAGATAACAGCATGTTGTTGTTTCCTCCTAGATACGATGAATGGGTGAAAGCTGATCGGATCATTTGGCCTGTGGAGAAAGGAGGACCAAAGAGAAAACAGAAGAAAAAAGCAAAAGTAATTATTTCACTAAGTTTCTTGTACAATATTTAATGACTGTCACTGTTGTTTAAAAAAAAAAGGGATTATTCAGTCCATAGTCTCGCCTTTTAGTAGAGAAGGAGATGTGGTTTGATCAGCAGTGAAGCATTAACACAGACATTTTGGGTTCAGACTGAAGAAGGGAAAGTCTAGGTTGGATGTGAGAAAAAGTTTTTTACTCTAAGGGTGGTGACACTGTCCCAGGTTGCCCAGGGAGGCTGTAGCTGCCCCAACCCTGGCAGTGTTCAAAGCCAGGTTGGATGAGGCCTTGAGCAACCTGATCTAGTGAGGAGGTGTCTCTGCCCAGGGCAGGGGGTTGGGACTAGATGATTTTAAGGTCCATTCCAACCCCTAAATTCTATGATTCTATGAAACTCATTGTTTTCCCCTCAGAATAAAGAAGAAGGTGAGAAGGAGGAGAAGAAGGATGAGGAGAAACAAAAATCCAAGCGTGGACGACCCCCTCTGAAATCTACTCTTCCATCAAACACATCTTGCAGCTTACCCAAAACACCTAATAGTGAAGGTAAATCAGGAGCCAGAGGTGCACGGAACAGCTTGTCAGATTCCCCACCATTCCCAAATGGAACCGAAGGTACATCTGGTGCTGTGTTCTGGCATGGAGGTGCATGTGAGCTGTGATGTCATGCAGTGCAACACAGTGTTGTCAGCAGCTTGAAAGTCCTACTTTAACCAGACAGTTTACCAGCACTATAAGAAAACAAAATTTTTGGTGCAGATTTGACTCTCTAAAAATTAATACTTGTGATTTTAATTTTAGCAGCACCTCGCAGGCAGACCAGACGTAGCTCAGGAATGTTTGATTCTGATAGAGGGTCAAACGGTGAGTGATCTCAGTCCTGTGTATACCTTGAGGTTTTTTCAGTACCTTTTGGAAAAGAGGTTTGAGCTTGATTTTTTTTTTTTTTTTTTTTTAAAACCTTTTTTGTTGTTGTTGTTGTTGGGATTTTTCCTTTCTCCTTGTGGATTTTATTAAGGAACTACTTGAGCTGACACTGCTGAGGAGCACAGTTTGCTCTTACAGAAGAGCCATGGCATGGGAATGACTGTGCAAGTCATTCCATATTCTTCAGCCAGAGCCTTTCAGTCCTGGTATTGAACAGCCCAAATCCAGAGCTATAATAACAGTCTTTATTGTGGGACTTAAGTCCTCAACCTCAGCACTGCATCATCCAGCAGAGTTGTTAATTATACACAAATGACAGTGACATTTTTGGTGTTTCTAAGCCTCTGTGAACAAGAATGAAGTGAAATCACAGTTCTTTTAGCACTGGTTCCTGAATAATCTTCTGGTAACATACTAACACTTGTTCTGTGTGTGGTGCATCACTCATACAACAGTTTAGCAAGGAGATGTCCATATTGGGGTCTAGAAAGGTTTGGGTTTTGAGGTTTTTTGTGTTCTGTTTGGGAGTGCATGGAGGGGGAGAGTGGTTTTTGGATCATGCAGTCCAACTCCCTGCTCCTTGCAGGATTACATCAACTAAATCATATGGCTCAGAACATCATCCAGATCCTCCTTGAGCTCTGACAGTGCCACTAGAACTCTGACAGAGCCACTGCTATTGCTGTTCCATAGAAATTTAGGTAAAAATAAGAAGTGTGTTGAATAGCACAGGATTTTTAATCTGGTAACTGATGCTAACATCAGAGATTACTGAAAAGAGAGATCTTTGTATGGTTCAAATAGGGAATCGTGTTGTAATTAATTATTCAGGGTGCTGTTTGCTTCTTTTTAAACTCTTTTTTAGACTCTGGCACATCTGATAGTGAAGCAGATGAGTCATCTGAAAAGAATTTGAATGAAGAATTTTCTCCAGAAACTTCAGAACTGGAAAAAAGTGACAAACTCCACGATGAGAAACTAGATGAAGAAAACCCAAAGATTCCTCATGCATTGAAAGAAAATGACAGGACCCAAGTGCAGCCACTAGAAACACTGAAACTGGAAGTTGAAGAAAGTGAACAAATTGTTCAGATTTTTGGGAATAAAACAGAGCAAATTGAAGAAATCAAAAGAGAGGCTGAAAAGTCACCTAAGGGGAAAGGGAGAAGGAGCAAGACAAAAGATTCCTCATCAGAGAACACAAAGATTTCACCAGGAAGCCAAGAAGAGGTGGCAAATGAGTCTCTTACAGAAGCTGAACGATTAGATGTGTCTTCCCTGGACTGTAAGGATCTTTCAAGCACTACTGAGAGTGAAACAGAGCCTGCTGCAAAAGATAAGAAGCTTTTGAAAAGGAAAACCTTGGAACAGTCATCACCTGAGAAGAGAAATCGTCGAGAGAGCGAGATGGAAGTGCCAAATATTGTATCTGAAGAGAGGACCAATGAATGTAGTGGAGCAGAGGAATGTAGAGGGCTGAGTGCTGAGGAGTCCAGGACTGAAAATGAGGAGATGCCATCCCTGGTGGCAGAATCGGCTTCGCACGTTCAAGAGCTGAGGAATGACAACTTCCAACGTCCATCCGAAGCCAGCGAGAACATTCCCTTAAAGGATGAGGATGACACAATGCCTCAGATTGGTCCTGAAACTTTGCTGTGCCATGAAGTAGACTTGGATGACTTGGATGAAAAGGAGAAGGGCAGCAGTGAAGACACAGTACCAGAAAAGCCAGACCCTAATGCTCCAAATTCCACCCCTTCTGCCTTACCCCCTGCCGTCCAGTCCGGCTTTTCCGTGGCCTCTCCTCTGGCTCTCAGCCAGGATGAGTCACGCAGCATCAAGAGTGAGAGTGACATGACCATTGAAGTGGACAGTGTGGCAGAAGAGTCTCAAGAAGGTCTCTGTGATGAGTCTGCTAATGGATTTGAAGCCAGTACTCCATCCAGCAATTGTAGTATAGCTGTGCAGGAGAGAGAGATGGGAGAGAAAGGTGAGAATTTCATGGGAAAAGTCATTCCCTACTCTGATCATTTCTGTAGTTGTCTTAAGTTTGGTGTCACTTGGCTAAAAATTGCTGGTTTGTTTTGTGCACTGGTTATAGAATCACAGAATGGCTTGGGTTGGAAGGGACCATCCAGTCCCAACCCCCTGCCATGGGCAGGGACACCTTCTGCTAGACCAGCTGCAAGCCCCATCCAGCCCGGCCTTGGACACTTCCAGGCTTGAGGCATCTGCAGCTTCTCTGGGAAACATGTGCCAGTGCCTCACTAGTGAAGAATTTCTCCTAATACCTAATCTAATCCTTAAGGCCATTCCTCCTTGTCTTGTCACTCCATGCCCTTGTCCCAAGTCCCTCTCCGGCCCTCTTGGAGACCCTTTAGGCACTGGAATGTGCTTGAAGGTCTCCCAGAACCTTCTCTTCTCCAGGCTGAACATCCCCAGCTCTCCCAGCCTGTCTGATTTTAGATTTCTTTGTTGCTTATAAAAAGAGCTTGTTAGAGGCAGAAATATTTGAGGTGTTTTGTTTTTCCTTCTCACCCAGGACATAAAAGGCCCAGTGACAGCAACAGTGGGACACTGGCAAAGAAACAAAAGCGAACTCCAAAGCGAACTAGTGCTGCAGCCAAAAATGAAAAGAATGGAACAGGTACATTCCTGGAGGGGGAGAAGGGGGAAGGTTATCCTGTCCTGTAAACATGTATAAGAGCTCACTGTTCCCACTGTTACCCACTGGTTCCAGTGCATGGGACTTCCCTGTCAGGGTTTTCCATTCTTATTCATCATCATTACTGGTGTTAAACTGGAGGGAACCTCCAAGCTCTGTGGTTGCAGTGTTACTGGGAAATCTCTTGGCTATTTTATATTACTTAGTTAGGAAAAACATATAGTATTGTATATATTAGGAGTTACTAGGTACTTGCCATTATGCTGATTTTTATGTATTGGGTTAGTTATGGATGTGGGAGAGGGGAGCTTGTTCTGAGAGGAAGCATCACCTTTAAGTCTTACAACAGGTGTTTCTGATGGGGGAGAGACTTCCAATTTTCGAAGTACAGAAAAAATGTTTGATGCTAAAGATTCCTTTGGCTGAAAGACTAATCTTACGTGCTTTTTCGCTCAAGTTTGTGACTAACTTGCTACACAAATTTGGATTTTTGTGTTTCTGTAGCTCATTTTTCAGGCATTCACAGAATGGTTTGGGTTGGAAGGACCTTAAAGATCATCTAGTCCCAACCCCCTGCCCTAGGCAGGGACACTTTGCACTAGCCCAGGTTGCTCAAGGCTTTATCCAACGTGGCTGTGAACACTGCCAGGGTTGGGGCAGCCACAGCCTCCCTGGGCAACCTGTGCCAGTGTCTCACCACCCTCGCAGGGAAAACTTCGACCTAATACCTAATCTAAATTTCCCTTTTTCAATTTATACCCATTACTTCTTGTCCTGTCCCTGCAGTTCCTAACAGAGAGTCCCTCTGCAGCTTCCCTGGAGCCCCTTCAGCTCCTGGCAGGTTGCTCTGTACAGTCATGTTCTACTCACCTATATTAACGCAGTTTTAATCTTTCAAAAAGTTGTTCTAGTCTCTGCTTTATATTAGAAAGCCAAAATAGTTGAGTTACTAATCACTGCTCTAATAGTCTTACTTTGTTAAGTTTCTTCATTGCTTCTGTAAAGAAGTGTCTGTCACATTTGAACTAAAGGTCTCATCAGCCCTTGGCTTGTCCTGCATCAGTGCTGAGAATTCATTGTAAGTTGTGTCTGATACTGTATAGAGAATCTGAGATGTTTTTCCCTCTTGTGTATTGTGGGATCTCCTGAGCAGGAAGGAGCAGCTTTTTGTTAATTGCTTTTCTGCTATAACCACAGTTTTTAAAATGGGGTTTTTCAAGTCCAAATTAAATTCTTACTACAGGACAAAGCAGTGACAGTGAAGACCTTCCTGTCCTGGACAGTTCCAGCAAATGTACTCCTGTGAAACACATCAATGCATCCAAACCACAGAAGATTTCTCGGTCACCTGCAAGAGTGATTTCTCCTCACATCAAAGAGGGAGAGAAGGATAAACACAGAGAGAAGCACCACCACCAGAATGCTTCTCCCAGAGTATACAAGTGGAGTTTCCAGCTCAGTAAGAATTCTTTAAGTGACTTGATTAGAGAGAATTGAGGAGAAAATTTGTTCTGAAAGAAAAACATGCAAATTTGGAAGTTCTAAATGAGGTGTGGGCTGTTAGGGCATAGGTGTGGAAGTGTGTTACCTTGAATTGCATTCATTTGCTTAAAATCACCTTGATGAAGATATTTCTTTTCTTTCCACTTTTAGATGAACTGGACAATATGAGCAGCACTGAAAGAATCTCCTTCTTACAAGAAAAGCTACAGGAGATACGAAAATACTACATGTCCTTGAAGTCAGAAGTAGCAACCATAGACAGGAGGAGAAAACGATTGAAAAAGAAAGACAGAGAAGGTAACTTTGCTTTCTGATTCTCATCAGAAGTTAATTTTCTTGAAAACATCTAACTCAAAGCAACTTGAGCTTAACTGAGGATAATTTTTGACAAAAGGAAAGTGTTATCAGTTGTTTGTTTGCATATTATGTGTGTATGTGTCCATATTTAACTCCCTGACAGGGCTTGGAGAGAGGTGGGGGATGTCTCTCCTGCCTGCAGGGAGAGGGCTAGAGGCAACAGTCATAAACTGAAACAGGGAAGATTCAGAGTAGATACTTGAAAAAATTTCTTTACTGTTAGGGTCTTCAGGCACTGGAATATTGCCCAGGGAGGTGGTGGAGTCACCATCCCTGAAGTGTTTCAGAGGTGTCTGGGCCTGGCACTGGAGCATGTGGTTCAGGGGCTACAGCAGAGTGGCAGGTTAATGTTGGATATGATGATCTTAAAGGTCTCCTCCAACCTTAATGATTCTGTGATATTTAGAAAATATTTGTGGCTTTTCAGAACTTTGGAATGTTGACTATTTTATAATCGTGTATTAGAAACTTGAACTTCCTAGTGCAAGCTTGGTCTGATTTCTCAGTCAGTGCCATGATTCAGTTATCTTTTCAGTGGATAGGACAAGGTTAATCCAGTTTCTGTGGCTACAGCAGTGAAAGCAATTGACAAAAAAATCTGTTATCAGGTTTGTGTGACTGTGCCACTTCCTTGAGGTCTTTTAAACAACCTGATAACCAAGGAAACCTTCCCTGTGACACGTGCTTTGATCATCTGATGCTGATGTGTTGTTTTCTGTGTTCAGTGTCTCACACAGGAGCATCCATGTCATCAGCTTCCTCAGACACTGGAATGAGCCCATCGTCGTCTTCTCCTCCCCAAAACGTTCTCGCTGTCGAGTGCAGGTGATAGACATTTCTCTGCCTTGCCAGCAGCTTGCTGCCATGGACATAAATCCTGAAATTCAACCACAGAAAGCACTCAACTGGTTTGACATTGCCAAGTATATTCTGTACACACTTCCACTGCTGGACTGTACCTGTTCTCCCCTCCTATTTTGGTTAATTTACTGTTCAGAGAAATTAAGCTCGTTGGTATCTGAAGGTTTGTAGGCACAACGTGAACATTCTTGTCATTGTGTTTGGTTTTGTTTCATGTTTGTTTGTTGGTTTTTTTTTTCCTTAACACAGAGAAAGGGCACTTAGCAAATTTGAAAAGTTATGTCCAGTGAAGCATTCAGGTGTTGTAGGGTGATCTTAAAAACAGCAAGTGCACCAAGCAGACATCAGAGTAATTACCCAAAAGAACTGAGTAACTGCTGCACTTTGACCAAGCTGTACAGTAACTCTTGGTGAGCAGTTCCTCTTTGTGGAAGCACTTGCTATACAGAACTGCCAAAGTATGTGTTCAGCAATGTGCCCAGTTTTAAAGGTGTAAATGGGACAAAATAAATTGTGAAAGGAAGTGTAGTTGACTGAAAACTACAGTTGTAATAAGTCTTCCACTTTTTATAGGATTTTTGAGCACACGATTATGCAAATATTTTAATGTTTATTAATGTTTACAGTGGAATTGTGAATAGGTTTTCAGTGGACTATCTTATCCCTTGACAAAAATATTTTGTCTTTTTTCTATGTAATTTCAGAGTTTTTATTTTGTTACAAAAAGACAAAAATGAAATATATAACAACGATGAAGTTATTTAACAAGATTTCTAAAGCTGAAATTTTTGTGTAAAATAAGGTATCTTGCAACTTGTTAAATATATTTATTCAGACATTGGATGTTGTATTTTTATGTATTTTTTAAAATATTAATAAAATTGGAAAAAAAAATTCTAGGTTAGTTCACTCTTTGGACAAAACATCCTTATGAGTTCTGGCTCTTCAGGAGGAGTTATCCAGTAGCCATGGCTGTCCCTCCAGTGGATCTGTCTGCGTGTCCTCCCCACACAGATCTCAGCAGGCACCTGGGATAAACCAAACTTTGATTTGGCACCTTTGGCAGTCCTACTACTTAACCTTGTTTGGAGGAACAAAATTTCCTTGGGTTGCCCTTAAGATATGTTGTCTCAAGTTCTTTTGTTTGCTATTACTGCCGAGTAAATTTCTTACCTCCCAAAGTTGAGATGTAACAATGAAGCAAAGCAACTGTGTGTGCTCTGCCCGTGGATTGTCCCAGAGGCAGATCCAGTTTGTAAATAACTCTTCCCCCACCATGTATTTAAAGCAGTTTGCATATACATTATGTATAAAAGTGATTTTTTTATCAATTTTTTTATTCATGTTTGTACATTGAAAGAGGTTCCTGACCCCTTTTTCTGTGTTTAATATACTGTAGAGTAATACCATAGATGCTCTAGACTGTATATCAGGATATTCTGGTCCACACGGCAGAGTCAGAACGAGACACTAGTGCTGGAGTAGCATTACTAAAATTGATGTTTCTTGACATTTCATTTTACAACATTTGTCAACTTGTGATTCCAATTCCTTCCATTTTCGCAGGAAATTAAAGAAAAAGTACTCTTGTAAATGCACTTTTTCTGTCTTTTCTTAAGCCAAGCAGAACTCTTGCAATGTAAGATGAGTATGGAGCTCACTAGACAGCGTTAATAAAGGCCATGTTTTGAACATAGGCTTTAGGTTCTACTTTTGTTGAAGTAATTGTTCTTGTAAATGTCTGGACTTAACCTAAATAGGAAAATTAATCTCCATAAATTCCTGTAAAGACTTTTTTTTTTTCCAGAGCTAACTTTTACTGTTTAATCCTCTAATAGCCACGAATAAAAGGCAATGCTCACTTCAAAGGAAGTAACATGGGTCACATGTTTAATGTTTGCAGTAGCAAATGTTAAATTCAGTGAAGTAACAGGATTAATTATATCTTATGCAGGTATCTAACCTGTCTACAACTGTGTGAGATCTTAAACAGGCACATACACTCAGCAATCACAGAGGATGGAGTTGGTCCTGGCTGTACCATGGCATAAATGTTCTCAGTGTGTGTTCTCAGCTGATTGCTGCTCCCTGTCCCTTAGGAGTGGTTAAACCACTGTCTGAAAGACTCAAGGTATGTTTCTATGAATCACAGAATCAACCTGGTTGGAAAAGACCTCCAGGATCATCCAGTCCAACCCTACTGTAGTTACTAGACCATGGCACTAAGTGCCACATCCAGTCTCATCTTGAGAACTTCCAGGGATGGTGAATCCACCACCTCCCTGGGCAGCACATTCCAATGTCTGATCACTTTCTCTGTAAAAAATCTCTTGCTAATATCCAACCTAAACCTCCCCTGGCAGAGCTTGAGTCTGTGCCCTCTTGTCCTACTGCTGGTTGTCTGGGAGAAGAGACCAACCCCCACCTGACTACAACCTCCTTTCAAGGAGTTATAGAGGGTGATAAGGTCTCCCCTGAGCCTCCTCTTCTCCAGGCTGAACACCCCCAGCTCCCTCAGCCTCTCCTCATGGCACTTGTGCTCCAGTCCCTTCACCAGCCTCGTTGCTCTTCTCTGGACCTGCTCCAGCACCTCGATATCCTTCCTGAACTGAGGGGCCCAGAACATGGAGCCCTCTCCAATGGGTGGTTGCTCCTTGACATGGACAACTTGCTTCCTTACTTCCTCTCTCCACTTTTCTCTAGTACTCATCAGAGACACACACAGCCCCAAAACAGCTCACATTAGTTCTGGTCCTAAACCTGCAGAGAAAAGTAAACTTTCTGCCAAGCTGCTGGCAAAGCCTCTAGCATGTTCCTGATTTCCTGGTTTTACCTTTCTGGGAAGCAGTTAGCCAGATTATTCACATGTCTACAGTAGTTCCCTGTGACATTTAAAATACCACAGGGAAAAGAAGATTAGCAAAGTATCATTGGACTGTCCTGGATTAAAGGTGAAATCAAGAAGAAACTCTACTAAGATCTATGATTTCTAAGTTTACTGTAATCCCCTTATTGATGCTTTGTTGACATAAATTCCAAAGTGTCTTCCATTGCCTGGAATGAAGGTTTATGCTGTTGAAGACACAGCAATTATGGTTATACAGAATTGGGTTTTTTATAATAGGAGATTAGATGTTGTGTTTGCAAGAGCAAGCAAAAATAAAGCCCCTTTTGACAGTCTTTGTGCTGTTTTGCCTTCTGAGCTTCTACAGTTTTTTCTCTAAATTCTGTTATTTCAAGCTTACTTACGAAGTAAAAATGATTTTTAAAAAAGATTATGGGAGTAAACACTGTTAAAAAGAAGAGGGATTAAGAGAATGATGACTCTTCCCTCACCTCCTGCAATTGATACAAAGAACTGGCAGATTTTTGGCAGATTTGTTAGTTTTTTATTAGAATATATCTGAAAGTTGGAAAAATCTTGGAGCATTTGCATGCAGGGACATAAGGTAAGAAAAGATTCATTTCTCTACTTGTTTTAGTTTTTTCTTTCCACCAAGTGTATCAGGTCCAGGTATACTAATGAGTTTTTAGTTTCTCTCTTAATGAGTTTTTAGTTTCTCTCTTGTGTCAGTTCAGCAACACTCAGATCTCTGCTTGGTTTTCACTCCTCCATCACATCATTTGTGTCTGAGAAACTTACTCTTGCTTAACCAATCTGAACAGCTCAGGCAGGAGAGGCAAAGATGTAGAACAGTAACAGCAAGGCATTATTTCCTCAGAGGTTAAGCAGATTCCCAGTAGTGACTACCAGTGAAAGAAGAGCATAACAAGGGCAAAGAAATGTGTATTTTCATGCAGCATAATGTGACCTTCACAGGGAGCAGCAAAGATCTTTAATTTGAAAGACAGCGGTAGGAAAGGTGATTAAATCCCTTCTTCACTATTTGTGTTGTTGTGCATGCTGGAGTCTTTTTAAAAGTGCAGTAGGAGAATAATCTAGGCAGAAATCTTCTGTGGAGGGAGCCAGGGAGTAATGACTACCAAAATTCCTCAGGATGGAAAGAGAGTCTGAATCAGGATTGTCAACTCCTGTGCCTGAGTCAGGCTGTGCACTGCTGAGAGCCCTTTGTCTCTGCAGACAGGTTTGTCAGCCAGATGGAATTTCACATTTAAGAATGAATGTTCTTATAAAATCTTCTTCTCTTCCCCATTAAAAATCTTCTTGACTCGCTGAGGCAGCCAAATGGATTTTCTGGGCAGCGTTTACTGGAATTCTTTTACAGCAAGAAGTCTAAGAAAAGCTGTTGTCTTCTTTGGAAGAAAAAGAGCAGGTTTGGTTTGATGGCTTGAAAAAATATGACAGATGAGCCAGAAACCAGATTTACCAGCTGAAACAAAAGATGAATGGGTTGACAAAAGTATGTTGAGCTGTTTACTGCACTGCGCTCTTGCCTTTTGCAGATATTGTAGACGAAAATCTTGGTTATTTTTACTTCTCTGTACTTGAGGTTTTATTATCTGCTACAATATGCAGGATAAAGACTACTTGGGTGACGTGAGGGATATCATAAAGCAGTGGGACCAGAGGGGATGCTGCCAGACACTGACTCACTGCAAGTCCAGGGGCTTAGGAAAGAGGCATTTTATAAATAGCTCACACTATTAAGCTATTGCAAATCTTGAGAAAATCCATCATTCTACCACATCATCTTATAGGATGATTTTTAAGAGGTGTCTGGGAGGGTTTAAAATTATTCACCTTTATTAGTTACCACTAAGTAGATGGGATTTGTTGGGATTTTATTGTTTGTTTGTTTTGGAAATCTGTGAGTTCCCCAAATTTCACAGGCATTTCTTAGTCCCGTCCATTGCTTTGGAGGATTATGTAAACTCAGGGGTTTGTGTTACAGTGTTACTGAGCTGAATATGTCCTTGTTTTGATGCCATTGGGTGGTGGATTTTGTGATTAGTCACCAGATGACAAATACCACGTTGTCATTTAAGGACAAGTGCAGAGGTGAGGCAGTGCTGGTAGGGCAAGCAGCCCTTCCAAGAGTGTAGGACTTTCCTGATGTCCTCTTTGTTTGGAATTACCTTTGCTATCTATGTTGCCGTTCCTGACACTTCCCATTTTCAGAGTAACCCTCGTGCCTGTTTCAGAGCAGGGATGTGCCATTGCTTCAGCTCTGCACCTGCCTGCTCTTCACACTAGTTACTACCTTGATGCTGCTGCTTATCCTACACCACTAGTCTTCAAACATGAAGAACTCTCTTTGTTTGATGACACTTGGCTTTAGTGCCAGCACAGCTCCCTTGGTGCAAAAACCACAGGAACATTGTGACACTTCCTCGCTCTGTGTCAGTGCTTGCCAGATCAGCATCAAAGCTCTGTTACAGCCCTGAAAACCTGCAGGTTGTTACCAGTTGTGTGTTTAGCTCTCACTCTGAGCTTGGCTGGGCAGGGACACAGTGCTGTGTTTGTTGCTGGTGATGTCTCTCTCTCTTTCCTGCTGTTCAGAGTAACCCCATGACATTTCCATTCCAGCACTGTTGGTGTCTTCAGCTATTTCTAAACTACTCCTCCTCTAATCCCTCATCTGGGTACAGTCTGACCTAATTTGCCATGCTCCTGCCAGCTCTGCCAGTTTCATAAGGAGGGGTAAGATGTGGAATTTGTATGAAATACTTTGGTATATTGCACAAGAGTGTTTTTTAGTTCTTTCTGTTTTAACAAGGCACTTGTTTATGTGTGTGCACAGCTTAAAACATCTCTTGATGCTGCTTCAGTTCCTGAAAATTGCTTCCCTTATAAAGTACAGTTAGAAGCTATTTTAAAAAGGGGGGAAAAAAGAAGAAGGAAAAAACCCAAACCCTTCAAACACTCCACTTCCCACTCTGTGAGTGAGTCCTGTGTGCCATCCAGGGAGTGTTTAGAGTCAAGTCCCCAGTTG